ATGCTTCTTCCTCACTCTGGTCTCCCAGCCCCCAGTCCAGCCTGACACTGCCATGTGAGTGGGGCTGGCCTGCTGGGGCTCACATGCCTGAGAAGTGAGCGTCTGGTCCTGAGGAGGCAACATGATCTGTAAAGGATCCCTGACCCTCTCCTTTTGAACCCTGAAGGGGCCGTCTTGATCATGTGAGGACCACAGGGGTATTAGCTATGCTGAAATGGGAGGCCTGGGAGGCGGCCAGGGCACCTGGAGGAAAGGCTGAGGAGAGGGAGAGAAGTGACAGGAGGAGGGTCTCCCAGCCTCAAGGGGAAGAGCTGAGCTGCTGGGAAGGGCCCTGCGGGGATCCGGCAGTGGGCAGGTGCCCCAGCCTCGCTCCTGTGGAGGGCTGTGGGACACCCACTTTCTGGCTGTAAGTTTCTGAGCATATGAACCAAGTCAAGGTGAGCTGTTCTGGGGGCCAGGCCAGAAGTAGGGGGCCTGGACCAGGGACCTAGGAGGAGGGGAAGGAGAGGTGTGGAGGGCTGGCCTGGAGAAAAGAGGAGGGAGGCAGAAGGGAAGGAGTTAGGGTCCCTGCATGGGGGCTATACAGGCAAAGGGTGTGTGTACGGGACTTTGAATGGTGCCTGGTCCCTGATGTGTCACTGTCAGCTGTCACATACAGTCCCAGGCATGAGGAGACCTGGCATGGAGGGGCAGAAAGCATTCTATGTGGATCCAGGCTGGGCCTGGGTTTCAGATCTTTCCACTCACTAGCTGTGTGCCCCTGGACAGGTTTCTTGGCCTCTCTGAGCCTCCGATGATTCTAGGACCAAATAGCAGTTGTTTCATCCTTACTGGGCAGGCTGAGATCAGGTATCAATCTTACCCAAGAATCTCCCATGCCCCTTGCTGTTCAAGTGACACTTCTTTACCCAGGCACACCCTTTCCAGGCCCAGGGAGTGGCAGTGTACCTTAGCCTCCCACCCCACCGCATGCGAGGGGCTGCAGGGAAGCCTTCTCCGAGTGCCTCAGCCCCTCTAGAGGGGTTGAAGCCAATCCTGTGCAGTGAGGGGCTAAATGGGAGGCTGGGGCGGTGCAAGGACTTTCCCACACCTGCTTCACCCCTATAGCTCCCCTTCCCCCCACTCTCTGATGGGATAGCTGGGATTCCCTCCCTTTCTTCCAAGCTCTGGCCCTTCTTGCCTGCTTCACAACAGGGAGCGAATGTTATTTAAAAGGAGATCAGGAGATTTGCCTTAAATAGGCATAGAGTGCTGTGCCAGGGCCCAGGGTGTGGGGCGGGGGAGGAGGCCACCCTGGGTGGTGGAGAGAAGGGAGTGGCGCTGAAGGAGAGAACACCCTCCCCAGGGGTGTGCACAGCCCTTCACCGTTTACCTAGCTCAGTCCCTGGCTGCGGTAGATTGGTCACACAGGGCTTATTCCCAGCCTAACCCATTCTGAGGCAGGGGAAACTGAGGCCCAGCTCAGGGAGCTGACGGGTGTGCTAGCTGCCACACGGCATCTGAGGCGGATGCCGTGGTCGTTTTCCTGCAGCCCCTAGGAGCTGGGAGCAGGTGTTCCAGGAGGCAAGGGGCCCAGAAGCTAAGACCTCCTACAACGGGGATGGGGCTTCTGCGGGGGTGAGGGGGGTCTTGGGGCCTCGCTCTGATACCTACCCCCACCACCAGGTCCCAGGCCTCTGGCTCCTGCCCCTGGGTTGCCCCTGCCTGTCCTCCCAGCCCCAGCTTGTAACTGGACGCCCTCCTCACTCGGCAGCTTCCCAGGTGAGCTGGGGCTCTGCTTACTGAACCCAACACCAGCTGGGGGAGGGCCGTGAGGGGGCACCTGGGGCACGCGTGCCCCGGGAGGCTGCGAGGCTGATGGAGGGAGCTGGAGCCAAGGGGATACGAGATTGAGGAGCGGAAGGTGGGCTGGCTGTCAGCCTCCTCCCGGCGGGGCTGACCTGGCACCTGGGTTTACAACCCTATTCAGGGTCTCCTTCCAAGCTCCTCCCCTTCCATTTCAGCCCCTCCCAGCCATTTATGTCTCAGCAGGTGATGCTCTTGGAATCCTAAAGAAATGGAGTCAAGAGTGTGAGGTTTCAGGGACAAAGCTAGGGGCAAGGAAGCACGCCTGCTTCCTCCTTTGTGCAAAGGCCTTGAACTCTGAGGTGTGGCCTCAGACACCCATGACCCTCCTGGCTCTGCCATTTACAGCCGTGTGACCTTGAGCTGCCTGCCTTCTGTGAGCCTGCATCTCCTTTGTAAACTAAAGATCCCCCTCATAAAGTCGTCAAAGACGCTCAGATAAGAAGGTGGACCGAGGCAAGAAGAGGGGGGCGGTTATACACACACGCACCCTCAGCAGCTCCCTTCCCACAGAACGCCCTCCTGGAACAGAAGTCAATGCCCAGCGGGCGCATCTGTGCTGCTAGGAAAGGCAGGCGCCGTGAAGCCACTTTCGTTTCCACCAGGATGCCCGCCCCAAGCCTTTACCGGGCGCCCTGGCCTCCCACCTGCCCGCCCACTGACAGGCACATGTGGGAAAAGGCGCGCTCGTCGACCCGGGCTAGGACTCCAGTTTGCTGTGGGAAGGAGAAGGGATAAAACTTCATTCTCACCTCGCCTTTAGAGGCTGGGCACAACCTAGGTCCTCTGGGAAGGAAGACTGAAAGAGAGCCTTTACTCTGGGCTCCTGCTAGTTCTCTTTGTTATTCGCTGGCCACTGGAGAGGCAGGGAGAGGGGGAGGGACAGGGGAGGGAGGCTACAGGGTGGCCTCCTCAGGTATGTGTAATAAAGGCCGATAGGAACTAACCACGAGGGTTTACCACACGCCTGTCCCCACCCCAGCTCTTTACCTGTTGTATCCCCATTGCTAATGATGAAACTTGGGCTGAGGATTTAGGCAGCATGTCCAAGGTTACATGGGACGTGGTGGAGCCAATATCTGGCTTCAGGACCCTCTGCTGACTGCAAAAAACCCAGGACCCTGGGACTTGGGTTCCAGATCCAAGATACCCAGTACAAGCTTCTCAGCAAAGGAAACTACCCTTCCCTAAGCCTACTGTCTGCCCAGCTCCTGGGGTGGCCCTCCCAGGCACAGAGACTGGGAGACAAAGGACCCACCAGGTGTCTGGGAAGAGACTGAATGACCACTTGCTGCCACCTAGTGGTGCATAGTGTGTAGTACTTGGGGAGCAGGAGGGCCTGGCTACTCTGGGATGAAGTCTGAGCACCACCATTGGCCCTTCTGGGTTTGGCAGATTATGCCAGGACCTCAGAAAGGAGGTCATGCCTAGCTAGGCCCTCCCCTGGCCTCCTGACTGAGGGTAGGGTGAAAGTAGGCACTCCAGTGGTCCTGCCATCTCAGCCCCACGTCATACTCTCTTCGGACAGCTCCACGAACACCAAGTGTTCTACCACTGCCTAGCCCCCGGGGCCTCAGCTACCCTCTCTGTGAAATCAGAGGATGGCACTTTAATTTGCCAAAGATTTTATGAAGTGTCTCCTTTCTAAAGTCATCATGCTGAATGCTTTGGCTCACAAAGACATCTAAGCCAGGTCTCTTAATACCAAGAGATCCACCTTATTCTAGGGGGAGACAGACATGGAAATTGCTAACTACTCACAGAGGCACTGAGGGAGCATTGAGGCAGGGGAGACAAGACAAATGGGGGCCAGCAGGACGTGGGACCCACAGGAACCCCTCTCCCCCCAACCCCAGGGGCTCTCACCCCGTGCTGAGCACCCTCAGGGATAGGCCTTACTCCCTCAACTCCCATCTTCTCTTGCTTTAAAGTCTTTAAAGTGGACCAGTGAGCTCCATCCATCTTCCACGCCTCTGTACTTTTATACTACAGAGTTCTCTTTTCCTAAAAGCCTTTCTCCAACTTGTCCGCCTGACAAACTCATCTTCAGTCTTCCTTCTGGAGTGGAGGGGAGAGTAGGAAGTCCCCACGACTAGGCAAGCAGGAAGGAAACTGATGGGGTTTCCATCCCCATTGTCCCCCACTAGCAGCAGCACAGACACCCTCATCATCAGGGCCGCAGCCTCAGGGAGGCTGCAGGCAGGCCTTCCTGGTCCCCTAACTGCAGGCTTTCCACATCTTTTCATTCCTTTATTCTCTGCTATCTGCCTGCCCCATTCCAGGGGCTGAGCTGGCCCCTGGGACTGCAAGTCAGGAGACTCAGTCATGTTCTGAGAATGTTCTGGTGCAGGAGACAGGCCCACAGCAAAGGACAGCACAATGTATGTGCTCAGAGACAGGAACCGACCATTCAGCCTAGAGAGGGGCGGGGCTAGGTGCTGGGAAACAGGAGGTGACGTCGGGACAAGTCATGAAGGGTGAATCTGGGCAGTTCAGATGTACTACCAACACGTAGTGAAGTCAGGGAGGTGTGAGGGGAAGGCATTCACCCCAGAGTCCTTTTCTCCGACCATCCTCAAAGCGATCGCTCCCCCCCCTGCAAGTTCTGTTAGTCGATCATTTACTAACAGTTTGAGGTTATTTGCTTGCTTGTTTGTAATCGGTCTCCCTCCTGTAACCATGAGCATCCCGAGGCAGGGCCATGTCGCTCTGGTTTGCTGTGGGGTCTCCATCTCCGGTGTCTCCATGTCTCCATGAAGCCCACAGTGAAGTTCTGAGGCCCTGCAGACCCTCCGAACCACCATAGCACTGAGCCCCCGTTTAACCAGACACTCCCTGAGCACCCACTCTGTGCGCTGGGGCCTCCGCTGGTTTTTGGAAGGCAAGGCATCCAAGATTTCATGTACCCCAGCAACCAGCATGGTTTCATCCTTCTTGACTCCTTCCACCATTGACAGTTTTACTTTTAAATAGTATTGCTTACACCTGAAACACTATAAATCAACTATACTTCAATAAATAAATAAATCAATAAATAGCCTTTGCTCTCTAAAGCTGCTAATGCGTGCTTCCACTTTAACCCGTATTTACCAACCAGGATTGACACCTTTTCACTCTTAAGCAGTGACCCTTAATAGTCTTTGCCAGCGTATGAGGGCCCCTGAGCAGTTTCCATCAGGCTTTTTGATGAACCAAAGCTATGCTGATCCAAGCTGCAGCCCCAGCAAGGCACGAAATGAGAAAGTTTCAACCGAGGACCCCAGCATCTAGCCACTGTGACAGGCCCATTTCCCACCATGAGAATTCTCTAGAGTCTCTAGTGTGTGTCCTTGTTTGACTTTGGGTGGTGGCGATTCACCTTGTCATTTCATTGTGAGTCACCAGCCTCACTCAGGTAACTCAGCTTTTCCAAATTACAAGTGATATTAACAAAACCTCACATAAGGATGCACACTGTGAGCTCGGCCATTGTAACAGACACCTCTTGTGCATGTGGGTAGGGGCAGGAGCCTCCTTGGAAAGGGTCAGCCAGTGTCCCAGGCAGGGGTTCTTGGAGAGCAGAAGACAACTCGCAGTCCTCACACAATTCATGAGTTTATTTGTCCTAAATAAATACAGTCTGAGAGCATCTATTTCAATACCCCAACACATGATTTCTTCCCCAAAAGAGCAGCCTCAGGTAGAGGCAGTGCGTGTTCTCAGGTTGGGGTCTGGAGGGGGTTCGTTCTGACTAGTGCTGGGCTGGGTCTAGCTGTGAAGATGCCCCCAGGTTCCCGTCTCTGCTTGGGGCCTGTACTCTGCCTGAGTCCTCCACCAGGACCCTGCCTGTCTGTTCCTGCTCTTGGAGCACCTGTTTCACCACCTCTCCCCCCTGCAGCCCAAAGGGAGCGCCATTCACAAGCGTGTGGCCCCGAGGCAGACACCTCGCAGAGAGCTCTGTCCTAGAACGCCAGTCCCCACCACAGGCCCATTCCCAACTCCTGACCCTGGAAGCATCTCCCCCAGGGCAAGGGGAGAAACTGAGGCACAGCTGGCAAATGAGTGGGAAGCACTCTCCCCTGAGCTCTGCCAGAAGGCTGAGAGCCCCTGATGAAGGGAGACAGGGACACTGACTACCCTCCCCCAGGTGCACCCTGGGGCCAGCCCACTAGGGAGCAGGAGTGAAGACCATCCTTTGTCTTCTCTTTGCAGATCAGAGGTTCGGGTCCACGTTCTCCTGGTCTGAGGCTGCCTCACTGTCATCTGGGGACCCCTGGACCAGAGCCAAAGAAACTCAGTCATGGGCTTGTGCTGTCCCCCAGAGCCAGAGCCACAGCCTGGGGGCCAGCATTTCCTTCTTCTTGCCCCTCCCTCCGCAATGGAGCCAGAGGAGGCTCTGCCATCTCCAGCCCAGGGTCCCTTGGGCTCCCCTCCATCCCAGCTCCCAAGCTGCCCACGGCCACATGGCCCACCATTGGGTGACTCCTCTTACCAGGCTGAGGCCCCTGTCCTGCCGCAGGGTAGCATAAAAGCTGAGCACACGGGGGTCACAGCGAACTACCATAGGGTCAAAGTCCAGCACACGCAGGCCCTGCAAGCTGCGGGCCCGAGAAAGGGCCACGTAGGCCTGGCCACTGGCAAACACACGGCTCAGAGAGATCTCCACACAGTCCAGGGACATGCCCTGGGGGATGGAAGGACAGGGCTGGAACCAGCTCAACATTAATTTGTGTCCCATGTCCACTGGCCCAGCTGTTGCCCCTGATCTCCTTGCCCAGTCCAGAGTTTCCTCAAGCCAGAGAGACAGGCTGACAGCCGACTGGTGTCTGGGTCGGGGTCGTGGAGCCCAGGAGACAGAGATCTGGGATAAGACTGGAGGCATAAGGATGAAAGGAAAGAGCTCAGGTCTGAGTCAGACAGGCATGGAAATGAATCCTGACTTTCTCTCACACTAGCTGTGTGACCTTAGACATGTTACTTAACCTCTCTGAGCCTTGGTTTCCTCTTCTGTAAAATAGGAATGATTATGTCACCTATACCTCATGTAGTTGTCATAAGGATACCAATGAACATATCTGGTAGTGGCTCAGAAAATGGCAGGGCAGGAGATGACAGAGGGAAAGTGTACGTATCCAGGAAAGAGAGGAAGCGGGATGGGAAATGCACGAAAGGTTTATTCTACAGCTGGCCTGGAACTTTCCATCCAGGGCAAGTTCAATCCCCACAAAGCCTTTAAGACCCCCCTCCCCACCCCCTTCAACATGTCCCAGGCCCATCCTGTCCCCCTGTGCCATGTCCTGACCCCTCCCCCTCACTGGCTGCTCACCTGGCTCTTGTGGATGGATATCGCCCAGGCCAGCTGGAGGGGCAGCTGCTGCCGGCTGAGGAGCTGGCCCCCCGTAGCCTGCACCGTCCAGCGGTCAGCACGGATGACCTCGGTGACTCCACACAGGAACAGCACCTGGGGCAGCCCTGAGGGAGGTGTGAAGTCCCACCTTTCAGCTCTGCTTCAAGGCTCCGAGGTGAGGACCAGCCTCACCCTCCCATGCTAGCCTTTTCCTCTTCACACTAACCAGGGCCCCTGCTGCAACCCCAGCCAGTAGGACTGCTCCCCCGTCACTTACCTCTCCCCTCGGCCTCGAACCCGACTACCACCCCTCGGGCGCCATTCACTAGACCCCGAGACACTGCCAAGTTCTTCACCAGCATCACCTGCAAGGGGAAGGAAACTGGAGGTGTGGAGGGCAGTGCATCCCTACGCCTGGCCTCAGCTCCAGGGTCACTGCAGCCGTTCTCGGAGGCTGGGGGATGTCATGGAGCTGCGCTGAGTCTGCTGGGACCCCTGCAGCAAGCTGTTTTATTTCCCTAGATCTCAGTTTCCCCTTGTGTCAAAGGGGAATGACATTTGCTCAGTTTGCTCAGAAGGAGGGGGTAAAGAACAATAAGGTGACAGACATTGCAGGACTCTGAAAATGACATCTGTTACAAGTGTGTGTATGGGCCACAGTCCTGAGGGACAGCCCTCTTCCAACCACTGTGCCTCCCATTTCCCCCTGGGTGCCTTTTGGAACCCGAGGAGAGGCTCCCATTTGGCCACTCTCACCATTGTGGAAGGAAGGGGGATGCTCACAGGACAGGGCACACTACAGAAGACAACCATGTGCGGGAGGTATCTTACTATGGATTTAGAGATGAAGAAACCAAGCTTCAGCAAAGGAAAGGGATTTGTCTAAAGCAACACTGCTTAGAGCTCCTGGGGTAGGAAGAGGAGGGCAGTGGAAAGCGGAAGATAGGAAGGCGGGTGGTAACAGGAGGGAAGGAGTTTGCTGTGGTCCCAGCTGGGCCCTCCGCCTGTGGAATGGTCTGTGCAGAGGGGCGAGGATCGGCGAGGCCCAAGCTCCCAGGATCTGGGCCCTGCTTCCCACTCACCTGCGCCCCCAGCTTTAGCTGAAGGAGCTGGCTAACGGGACACTGGGCATCCAGGGTCCGAGCCTGCTCAGGGTCACTGTCCATGGCCTCAAAGCTGTGTATTTCACCTGGGAAAAGAGAGTCAGGCAAACAGATTAATTACAAGCCACTGACTAGTGGCTCAATTTCTGAAAACATGTATCAGACCCAGGGCATGGCAGAGGTAGTGAGGACTAGCTGAGGCTTTGGAATCAGAGGCCTGGCTTCAAGTGTCACTTGCAGTGTTTGCTAGCTGAGTGATCTTGACCCATGCAAAGTCACATCTCTCAAAGTCACAATTACATCTGTAAACGTAAGGGACTTTATGGCCACAGAGTTTGGGGGCCTAGATATGCAAATGCTGCCAAGGGCCCAGGCTGCTTGGGCTCAGCTGGTCTTGCCCAGACCTAGCTCCTTGCTCACCTGGTAGCTCCTGCAGCCGCTTCTCGTTGGTAAGGGCCACGTCATCCTGGTGGGTGCAGAGCCTTGTGGCCACAATCCCATCTCGCCCCACTTTGTGGGCAGCTGTGGCCCGGAGCTGGCTGGTGACCTCATCCGAGCACCTGCGGAGACTGGGCCATCAGGGTGTGATACCTCAACACCAGGGAAGGCAGGGCACTTGGGCGGTCGTCCCAGGCTATGGCCATGGGTCAGGCCTGGGGACTGGATGTGGACACCAGGGCAGGATTTGCTGGTTCCCCAGGCTGGCTTGTTCCTTCCTCACTTGGAGCATGGGGGTGGCGCTTGGCTGTGATCGTGAGTGTGCACCCTTCTCTGTGTCTGCTCCAGGTCAGAGCTAGCCACCGTCCCAGCCCCAGGGCTCCTGAGGAAGTTGGATATGAGGAGCAAGCACAGGCTAGAAATTTAGAGACCTAGAGGAGACATTGGGGTTGAAACCCTGTAATACTGGTACCCTATAATCAGATTAGCCTCCAGGCTACAATTTTCTAGCCCCTTGCCTACTGCCTTAGGGGAAAAAAAATCTAGCCTACGTTTCTATTTTCCCCCAATTCAAGTCCTCCTCCAGGGGAAGCCTGGGTGCTGCAGTAATTCAAGTGGGAGGAGGGGGAAGATTGGGACCACCTCTCACTGCTCTGCCACTCAGCCTTTCTCCTGTCCCCCACACTTGCTGGTGCGTGCTGTGCACCTTCCTACTTGCCTCCTGTCCCCAGGCATAGAAAGCCCTTCATCCCACCCCCCCCTCATTTCATCCCAACCTGACCTGGCTCTCAATGCCCAGCTCTGGCCCGTATCTTCCTCCTTCCTGGCCCCTTTCCGCTCTGATGTTAGAGTAGTTGTAGCATTTCAACCTTTTGTCCCAGCTGGGGTGGGATCATGTCAGCAAACTCCCTTTCCCCACCAAGTGACCCCCACCACAGGCTCTAAGTAGAAGGAACTTGGGTTTTAGAGTCAGACCTATGGTCAAGTTCCAGCTCAGCCACTTTGGCAAGTCACTTCACCTCTTTGAACCCCAGTTTCTGAATCTGTGAAATGGGAGTGTTAACATCTCTGAATAAGTCTTGTCTCCATGTGCCCATACTTCCCTGGGATGTGCTCTGTGCCAGGCCCTGTGCTGGGTGATAGGGACCCAACCCTGGGGGAGGCTGGGTCCCAGCGCTCACAGAGTGACTGTCTCCTAAGGAGCAGTGAAGCATTTCTCTTCCTTCTCTGGGTCTCTGTGCTCCTCTCTGACCCACGCTTGGATCTTCATCCTATGGCCCCTTCTCTATTCTCCAGGGCCCACCTGCCCAGCCGCACAGCTTGCAGCAGAGAGATGAAGGTCTTGTCTGCCTGTCTCCACACCTCAGTCAGCTCCAGGATCACTGGGACACACCTCCTCCAGCTCTTGGCCTGGTGGGGGCAAGGTGGGGGTGTCAGGGAACAGAGCAAACTCCTGTGGGGCTTAGGGCCAGAGGGTGAGTGGTACCTGGAAGCAGAACTGTGGGGGCTGGGATCCTTTGGTTACGGGCGGCAGCTGCAGGAAGTCCCCACAGATGATCAGCTGGATCCCTCCAAATGGCTTGTTCTGCTGCCGGACAGCTCTGAAGAGGAGCACGGGGTGCTTTAGGAGTTGGGGCAGGTGGGTTCCATCTGGACCACCAGAACCCAGCCCTCATGGCACATACTGACCTGGCCACGGCCTCCAGCTTGTCAAACAGATCTGCCTCCACCATGGAGATCTCATCAATGACTAGCCGCTGACAGTTCAGCCAACCCTGCCGCACACCTGGCCGCTGGGCCAGGGCCACACACTGGGCCAGAGGAGCCTGGCCCGAGCCAATGCCTGTGAGTAACACTATTCAGCCTGGGCTGAGAGCCCAGCCCTGTCTCAACACTGACCTCCTCTCCCTTCCCACCAGCCTGGCTTGCTCCTTGTTCAAGCCCAAGGGGCTCTCACTTACCTGCAAAGGCATGGAGGGTAGTACCCCCGATGTGGCAGGCTGCCACTCCAGTGCTGGCAGTGGCCACAGTGCCTGTGGGAGGCAGGGAGCCCAGGATACGCTTCAACAGATAAGACTTCCCTGTCCCTGGGCAGAGGGCAAAGTCAGGGCCACCTCTCCTCCATCCCAGCGCACCGCCGTTCTCCCCACACCCACTCTGTCCCAACTACCTGCACTCCCTGTGAAGAAAATGCTCTGGCCTTTCAGGACGACCCTCAGCACAGCAGCTTGTTCCTTGGAAAGCTGTGGTTTGGTTGAGGGCAAGCTCAGCTTCTTCACAGGCATGGGCCACCTTGGGGATTCCTGAGGGGACAGGGCTGTCTCAGAGCCTCCCCACATCCCCTAGGCATTGTCCCCTCCATTCTTGGCCTGGTAGACCCTTGTGTCTCTGCTTGCTTCGCTCTGTAGAGGCCTTGGGCAGCCTTGGTTTATTTGGAGATCTTGCCAGTAACCTTAGGGGTCCAAGTCTCTCCTTGAGGAAGGGGCCAAGGCTGGGTCTCTGGGTCTCCACTGACCCCTGGTGCCGTGAAGACCCCTGTGTGGGGGTCCAGATTCTCCCTCAGCTCCCTCCCCTGGGTTCCCTAACTATCCTGGTCCTCTTACCCATCCTTCCTTTTCACTACTCTTCCTGTCACAAACCTCTCTCTCACCCCCAAACACCCAAGCAAAACCTTGCTTAGCCAGGGCCCCATCTCCATCTTCTCACCAGCTTAATCTCAAACCCCCGTGGTCTGCGATCCATCTGTTCCAGTTCGCAAACACTGTCAACTCCCTGCCTCCCCAGACTTTGTCCCCCCATCTGATTGGACCTGTTATCTGCCCCGACAGAGCTGACCCTCTCGGTCTCTCTGAAAGCTCCTCTCCTCCAGGGCGACCATATTCCTACTTTTCTTCTGAATCACCTTCTCTGCTTTCTCTTTTAATGTGGCCTGGGTCCCCTTTTCCTATTATCGCTTGCCCCGTCTCAGGCTTTGCACTATGAGAAACACAGGCACAGTTCCCATATCCCTGTAATACTCATAAATCCAGTGGGCATCTTCTCTGAGACAACCAGCAGCCATCTCAAATACAGCCACCATCTCCCCCCACCCCCAAACTGGGGCCTCCTCGGTCTCTTCCATCTCAGTGGCACACCCACGCCCCTAGGCGTCGCCCCGTTCCTGTCCTCACGGTGCTGGGCTTGGTCTCTGACCGGGGCTCCGTGGGCCGCTTCACTGGCGTGGTGTCCGTGACCCGGGTGGCCGCCGCGCGCCGCAGCTCCTCGGGCTGCACGGGACTGATGGTGACGAAGTCGCGGGGCCGCGGGCCAAGCAGCTGCGTGCGGGCGGAGGCGGCCCGGGACCGGGGTCCGCTGCCAGCTTGAGGCGCAACGTGCGCA